AAAGAGTTGGATAAATCTAGTTCTTTTTAAAATCCATTGTGAAAAAAAAAAAAACTCTCCTTTATGTAGTCCATATAAGCTATTAAATCACTTAAATAAATTAATCATCAATATGGTGCGAAACGAATCGGCGGTCAAAAATCACTCTCTCCTTCCTCCTCTTCTCTTTCTTCCTTCCACGGCAAGTCGCGGTGCTTGTGGAATAAGCGGAGAGAAATGGTGAAAAAAATATACATTAAAAAAAATGTGTAGAGCAGAAATGCCACTACCCAATATCGAAGCACTGCATGCATGTTGAATTCATAATAATTTTAGAATTGTGCCTTCAATGCCACACATATATCTTGTGATGTTGTTACACTCTCAGGCTTAGTATTGAAGCTTCACAAGCTTAAGCGACACAGCGCTCTAGTTCAAATAAAAATTTAGATTTTCGATCATTTTCAATTTTATTTCAAAATTTTCAAGTTGTGAAACGTTGTTGGCCGATGATGGATGTTAAAATGATCGTAATCGGGCGGCTGAGGTCGAAAGATCGTAGTTGTGCTACAGTGGTCATAATATTCGTAGTCGTTGGGTGACAAAGGTCTCGAGCTAAGACATGACCTTTGTGAGTGTTATCTTCATTTTTATTTTCAAATATCCTAAACTTTGTAGTTAATAAATATAAAAATTATTTGTTTAGGCTATACCATTTTTTGTTTTAATCTAAAATGAGTTAACAAGTTAGTTCGGGTCTTTTAGTTGCTAGTGAGTTAGGTTCAAGTTAGTATTTTTGACCCGTTTATTTAACGAGTTTGTTTTTTGTTGAGAAATAACGAATCAGATTTGAATCTGACATGTCAAACTATTCTAACACCTCAAATTTTTTTTATTTTTTGGGACATTTATGTCAATTAAGTCAGACTCACACACACATTACATACACAATACTCGAATCCAATATCTCTTATTTGATATAGTCTAACCTCCCAATCTACAAATCAAGATGAGTTATCCTCAAAATTTTTTTAGGTTAAAGTATATCAACACCCGACGTAAAAAATAAATAAATAAATAAATAATAAAAAAAAAAAAAAACACCTGACGTAGATTTCTATCTACTCAAAAATAGTGAGGTGGTGCACATGAAAATCTCCTGACGTTCCTCTAAAAATCTCTACCTTTTTTCTTTTTTTATTATTTTCTTTAATTTCTCTTGTCTTACAGTATTTGTGGCTACGTACGCACGTATATTTTAGGAGAAGAAAGCTCACGAGCTGCCTTTAATGGGCCCCTCTTCACTTTTAGGTGGCTATGGCCTGCGACGAAGTCACGAGAATCTCTGGCAAGCCACATTTCATTCACTTTTTTTACGTTTAAATCTAGCCATAATATATATTTTATTTATTTTTTTATACTATAAAGCATTAAAGTGTATAATTTTTTTCTATTAATTTTTTTATAAAATTTTTATTTTATCTTGTAGCAATTCAAGTGGTCTATTTTGTATAAGAATTCTATTGGCCCAGCGCTCTTATACATTGCATCCACTAAATATTTTATCTTTTTTTTAATTACTTTATGGAAGAAATATCCCTCACCGATGCTGCTGATCTACATGTCCGTGCCAGGAAAAAGTCATTACGGTGAGTGTCCAGATGTGTCCGGAGGTCAATCTGGACGTGTCACGTCCTTAATAAACGATATATTGGTTGATATATACGTGTCTGAATTGATCTCATAGATATATCTAAAATGCCGGCTATTTGGAGGTTTAATCATGTAAGATGTTTTTTTTAGTTTGGAAATAAAATAAGAATGTGGGTGTAATTTTGAAAGTGAACTAATTTTTTTTTTTTTTCCTTTGAATTTTGGGCAAATGTATTTATTATAGGGCTAAATAGCTAGAGCCGACTTATAAGCTTTACTCGTCTACTAGATAATTTTTGGATCCATGATTGCCTATTTGAGACAAGTTATCTTGCAGACTCGAAAGTTTGAGATCTAGTAGATTAAGGTTTTGTTTGGGACGACTTTTTTACTGCTTCTTAATATTCAGCTTTTAGTAATACAAATAAATTTTTAACTATAACTTAAAAATTGTTTTTTAATAAGCAATTAGAAAGCTGTCCCAAGCAAAACCTGAGTTAACTTCTCTTAAATCAATTCGAGTTAATTTGAACCGATTTGACACAAACTTAAGCCAGATGTACAATATAGATTGAAATTGATTTCATTAGCATATAATTTATCCTTTAGAGATAAAAATAGTTAATCAGTTAATCTATTTAAACTAATTACATCTTATTAACATAATAATTAATTAATTAGATTTTTTAATACTTAACCCGACTGTTACAATCACCTATTAAAAAAATAATTAATCTCTGTATTGCGACTTGCGAGGTAGTCGCTACCACGTATTCTCTACGGATGAGGGCTGCCTATTTACGTAATTTAAAATATTTCTGTTTACTATGTAAAAATAAATAAAATAATAGCGATAACTATTGCATGAAAACGGGCCCACAAAGCCTTTTTATTCTCAAAAATTCATCCACATCTGCCATTTAATGCAATATATTTTTTGTTGGTCGCATTATGTTATTAATTTAGTATTTTTTTAAAAATATATTTAAAATTTAAAATTTTAAAATTTATCATTTATATTTGACCAGACTTAGGTTTTATTTAAGATAAATTTTTTATTATTTTATGAAATAAATTTTAAGTACAAAAATTAGAATTTAGTAAATTTTGTACTTAAAAAATTGTTTATAAAACAAAAAAGCTGTTCCAAAAAGAATCTTACAATTTTAAAATATTATTAAAAATATAAGCGATGACACAAATATAATAATTAAGTATATCATCACAAATTTTAAAAACTTTTAGTTACTATTTTTAATATCAAAATTTAATATTATATATGTTATTTAATTTGATAAATTTATTTTTTAACTTATTTTAATTTTAATTTAAAATACATTAGAAAGGCTTTAAATAGTTTTTTTGCTTATAGCCTTTTTCCAATAAAATGAAATGGTACCATCAAAACTCCCAATAACGTTGCGATTGGCTATAAAAGAGGTATTAACTATTATTTAATGCGAATATAATCCACTTATTAATGCATATTAAATATAAATCATTAATTTAAATTTTCTAACACGTAATTTTGATATTTTCGGGTTGAATATGAATATATCGTTTTTTTTTCCTCATATCCTAGGCAGCCAAATATAATTTTATTTGTTTTATTTTTTTCGGCATTTACTAAGAAAGAAAATATAATTTATTTTATTTTGATTGAAACTATTGCTAATGATTCCACTGATCGAATACAGCCCTTATGAAAATGGCATTAAAAAACTTCATGAAGATTTGGCATTGATTTTGGATTCTCCCGGAACTAAAGATAACTGAAATATTGATTATTTATTAATTAGAGTTACTAGAGCTATAATTACTCTTGATTCTTTTTTTTTTTGACACTAGAATCATGCTTCTTATTCTTATTATTTTAATTTCCAAAAAAAAAAGAAGAATATATTTCTAATTTATGAGATAGAATATTGCAATATAAATAGGCACAAATTCTTATGTTTTTTACACCTATATATACATATAATATATATATATATATATTATAATATATATATAATTATACTATATATATATATATATATATATATATATAATATATATAAATTAGGTCAAAAAAATATTATGTCATATATGATGTGAAAATTTAAATGTTATTCAATTATTTTTAAATCTATTGTAATTTAAATATTTTGTTATGGTGATTAAAAGTCTCTTACTTTTTTATAAAAAAATTGCTAAATAAATACATTGAGTTACATAAAAAGTCATCTAAATACATTAATTAAAATTATGATGAAATATATATTAATAAAAAACAAATATGAATAAAACAATACTGGTTAATCAAAATTTTTAATTAATCATTAATAAATGATTAATCAAATTTTATGTAATCATTAATAAATATTTTATTAATCTTAATAAATTTTAGGGATTAGGGTTTAAAGTTTAGGGCAAAGTTCAAGAGATACTCACTAGTCTATAAATGAATTTGCGTAAAAAAGATGATTATGATCTTAGTCATATGAGCGTGTTATGTTAGGCAACTGTAACGAGTAAATTCTATAAAGTCGGTCCTAATGACTATTCAAGAAAGGCGACTTCCTATGAGAAACTATATATATAATATCCATGCAAGTATTTGACCTTCAACATAAGCCAAGCTAGTGACTTCTTAGAAACTCAATAGTTGACTTTTAACATGTCAAATAGTTAATAGGGCTTTGCAATCATAATTTTCTTGTATTATTTTTATATAGTAATACATGAAGTCAATTTTGTATCACTCAAATGTTGACTAAATTTTATAAAAATTGAGCCGAAAGTTGAGTTCAATTTTCGCAATTTTTTATACTAAAGGTCATTTCATTGAAATCTCAAAGCTTTTTATTTTTTATATGATGTATATTTGCAACATCAAACCAAAGTCCTCTCCCCAACGAAGGGCCTCATTTGTAATTGACTGCAAATACTAATGGAATCATTTCAATTGGGTCCGACCCCTACATTTTTTTCCCTTTTTAGGATTTTCCACGTAAGAATCTTTCTATCACTTATGACTCTCGCAGGCTCGCAGCTCTTCTCTTTATCTGTATGTGTGTTGATTTTTCGTACAAAGCTAATAAGTTAGATTTTTTCTCTCTCTACCGCTGGCGCTGAGAATGTTTCATCATGCAACAATAATATTTATTGTTTATCTTTTTTAAAGATAATATGATAGAATAATGCAAAGTTTGCGTTGTTAAAATTTTTAAGAAAAGCTTTCTTTTAAGATAATAAATTATTTTCAAATTAATACAATAAATGAAAAACTAGGTTGATGCATTGATACATTAATATGAGTTGATAGATTATCGTGAATACTTAATATATAAAAAATTAGTGGCATAAGTGAATAGTAATGCGTAAGCAGTTACAACTCAGGAGATTTATATAAATATACAGAGAGAGAGAGAGAGGGGATAATAAAACAGATATGACTTTGATAGTTTTCAAATAAGTTTGGAGATTTTCTCAATAGAAACGGCCAAAAAGAGGAAATAAAGGAGAACGAACAGTCAAAAACATGAAATACTTTGCCGGAATATTCGTCGGAATATTCGAATTCAGCAGCAGTCGCGCGCCGCCAAAGCCACGAGCCGAGCCCACCGTTTAATACCCGCTTGCCGTGTCTCTTGGCTCTCACCTGAGATAAGTACAATTTTAATTTAAAAAATAATAAAAATAATAACTAAATTTGTCTCAACCAATCAATAATTATCTATCATGAGTATAAGTTAAACTTTAAACGATAAGGTTCGGATTGTAAATATAATAAAATATTAAAATAATTCTGTGACTCTATAAAAGATTAAAATGATCCAAATTATTTAAAAATATTATTTTAATTTTTTTGACTCTTTAATTAAAAATCTAAATGATTCTATGAAATAATTAATTGGATCATTATTTAAAAAGTTAATGAATCAAATTAATATTTTATATCATCAAAAATATTTTTATCCATCAAAAGAAGTCTGTGAACCAATTCGATCATTTTCTCATAACACATTAATTACTAACTATATTTTATTATCTAAGATAAGCATTTTATGTTTTTTTTTTTAAATTTTGTGACAAGAAATGAGTTTAAAATTATTAAATTTATTTTAAAATTAGTAATGTATATAAAAAGTTTTATTAGAAAATCCTGATGTAATTTTTTTTATTTTTCAGCTATCCTGATGTAAAAATGTTAATGACAAGAATCTACTATAATAGCTATAATTGAATACACTATAATTAATTTATGTTAATTACTCATTTAAACAAGATTTTCAAATCAACTAAACGTACTTAATACATGCACGTCTACAGATCATCGCTATGCGTTTCTGTTCTCCGGCGGGGCCGCCGGCGGCGGAGAATATTTACAAAATCTACTGCGAATTGTATATTCATTTATCTACTTCGTTAATTATTTAATCAAAATAAAAAAAAGGAAACACAGAACAAAAAAGGAAAGAAAATTACTCGGCGATATAGCAAAGATCGAAAGGGGGCTTTCGGCGGGAGAGCCATCGGATGAAGATATCGAATCCGATTCCGACGATCTGCCGCTAGCAATCGATCCACGAAAAGCGCGGCGAACCGCCAAATACTCATCGAGAGCCGGCAAAGCCTTCGATAACCGCTTAGAACAATCTCCGCCGTTAGGGCATCCATCGCCGAACACCAGTCCGAGATCGAGGAATCCACGGAGCTCGTCGATGTCTTCATCGGTAATACACGGAGAGCGGCGATTGCGTCGATCGCGAGAGAGGCTTTTCCGGCGCTGCCAGGATTCTTCGTAATCCAGCTCCGGCGACCACGACCTCTGTTTCAAGAGCGCCTTGCGCCGGAACATCGCTGGCGGGGAAGGATGCGACGGCGGAGGTGGGGGAGGGATTGATGTGGTCATGGTGGTCTCCGTTCCCTCGATCGGGAAGGGGAAGGAGATCTGCGAGCTCAGATCCCTCGGGAGGGGTTTAAGGCGGGAAGGAGGAGAGTGAGACGTGAGGAAGATGCTGAGGCGGTCCCGTTAGGTTGCTTCTGATAGCCCGCGCCACGATTCGGGTCAGGTATTTATTTAAGTTTCTTTGACGTTAATTCTTAAAAAGGAAGCTTTTCAATTATTGATCAAATTTTAATTATGATAAATAAAGACATAAATATAATATAAAATTTTTATATACTATTATATTATTTTTAAAATACATTTAATATATTAATAATTAATATTTCTTAAAAACGTGTATTTAGATATTAAATTTATTTTAAAATTAGAAAAATTTTAATTTTAATGGAGAATTAATTACCTTGAGTCTATTGAAGTTAATGGCTTTACCGCTGGAAACGGCTAAATATTGCACAATTTTATTTATTAAGGAGCTTCATAAAAAATTAAAACGTCATTTCTCGTTTTCCCTTTCTTTTATAATTATTTTAAATAGGACTTTTTAACAAAATTAGTTAATGCAATATCGTTGAATATATTGAATAATAAATATTAATACTAAAATATTTTTATGTATAAACGAATATGTAAAATATGTGTTTTTTTAGTAATTAAATTATAATGAAATAAATCAACTTATGATAAATTTAAATAGTACATATATTATGTAGGAACTTTCTATATTTTTTAGCCAAAGTAAAATAATAATACTATTAATATCAATAAATATAAATTATAATAATATTGTTGCGTCCAGGAGTTTCGACGGTAGACGAAATACCATAATTTAACGTCTTAGCATCGCTAGCAAATCCGCAACGCAATCAGATAAGGAGAGATGGTTCTATGTATATTAATGAGACACCAAAAGATTTTTACGTGGAAACCCTTGTAAAAAAAGGGGGAAAATACCACGCGGGCCTAGTTCAGTTGAACAAATCGCACTAGTTATTGCCAGTCGATTACAAATAGAGAACCTTTCCTTGGGAGAAGGCTTAGCTTGATTTTGTATCATCTTGAATGGAGTACATTACATGATGTATAATACAAAGAGCTACTGATCCGGCGTAATTCGCTCTTTGTTAAAGGCTGCAGTCGGCGTGCGACGTTAGGTCAGAGGACCGTAGTCAACTGGCTGACGAAGCTGTAGTCGACGGCGACGTAAGCAGAGGACAGTAGTCGGCGGGCGATGGAGGTCGGAAAGACTATAGTCGCAGGCGACATAAGTCAGGAGGACCGTATTCACGGGATGCTCGAAGACTGTAGTCGCGGCGAACGTAAGTCCAGAGGACCGCAGTGCGGCTGACGACGGAGTAGAAGGATGTGTCTGACGACGAAGAACAGTATGACAGCGTCAGGTAGAAGTCACAGCAATGAAAAGAAATGCATTCTTCGCATAGACGTCCAACTGAAGTTGATACCAGGTAGAAGTCCGGCGTCGGGTAGAAACTTGGGCGAAGGAGTGAAGGTCTGAGTCGGTCTAGAACGTCCGGCGTCTTTGATGGCAGAGATGAGAACTGCAGCTTCACTAGGGCAGAGTTTCGGCGTCAGGAGGGAACTTCTGTTAGTTAATTGGAAGAGATTTCAGCATCAGTGAAAGTTGTGCAGAATTCTATTGTTCTGAAAATACGGCAGAGTATCCGCGTCTCAGGCGACAGGAAGAGGCTCCGGGTAGGCTCGAGGAGGTGGAAATCTCCTTTTCCCCTATTCTCCTCTTTCTTTCTTTTATCTCTTCAACTTGAGTCCCCTTGGGTAGAAGATGACGGGCTATTTATAGTTTCTGGAGTGGACATAGCCCGTAAATAGGCGTGAGATTCAAGGAAGGAATGGGAGTGGTTTAAATGGACGGCCGAGTATCGAATTCCTTATGATCATACATCATCTCGTTCGTCTGGTCATTTGAAAGGCCTTAATATGTGGAATTGATGATCTTAGGGGCTGTTGGATTTTTCTCCGTCGAAGCCGTTCATTCGAGTATAGCTCGTCAAAATCGGAGACCGTTTTGGTTAACTTCAAATTGCGGTTTGAATCTTCCAACAGTGCTTTGAAACCATGGATATCTGGACTCATTTTGGGCTGGATGGATTCATCTTGTGTTGTGGTTCGTATTTCGAGACGTCTCGGTTTGACTATAAGCTCGTGAATATCGGAGTTCGGTGTTCACATATTATTTCGATTAGTTTTTCCAACTTAGCTTTTTGCATCGAGATCGTGCCCGATATCAAGATTATTTTTTGAGTATGGTAATCAGTTGCCCCCCTATTTCGGACATCGAAGCTAAGGAGTCCGAAAATATGCACACAAATTTTAAAGATTTTTGGGAGTGACTCAATAATTGATCTTTAAGCGTGTTAGGGAGTCCAAACGGCCAAAAGTGCCGAAATTCGAGTTCAGGCCTCAAAACCCGTGTTCGAGACCCAATAAACGTCTGATTTGGTTTCCCGGAGGCGAAAAACAGGGCCCGGAAATGGGCCGGGAGCCGAACCGGCCGGTCCGGTCCGCTGCCGCCCGGTGCGCGGAAACCGCTGCCCGCGTGCGCGCGCATCGGTCGAACCCGTGCGCCTGGGCTGACCGGCCGCTCGCACTGGGCCGAACGGCGCAGCGCACTGGGCTGAAAACCGCAATCCCGGCGCGCAGCTGGGCTCGAACCGCGCCGCTGCAAGCCAGTTTCGCGCGCGTGCTTCGCCGCGCTGCTCTGACGCATGCCGCGACAGCCGCTGCCGCAGCCGGCACTTGCCGGGCCCACGGCCGTGTGTGGCCTCATCCGCGATCCGCCGCGTGGTTGACCCGTAGGATGCGGTGCGCTCGGTCGCGTCGTCTTCGGAGAGGGGCCGGTTGGCTTTGCACGCTTAAAGTGGGCCCACGAATCTAGAAAATCCGTTTTTTGTTTTTTTTTTGTCGCAAGAAATTCCCAAAAAATTCAAGAAAATTATGAAAAATAGGAATACTAAAATTGTGATAACGTCCCTCCTATTCTCTCAAACCTATTAAATAGGCCACTCAGGGCCTTTAGAAAACTTGCACCTTCTCTTTCTTTCTCCCTCCGCAGTTCTCTGGCGGCTGAGGCTTCGCTAATTTTGCGAGTTGGAATTATTTTCCTTACATCGAATAGCGCCCTCCTCGCGTGTAGACAACCTCATCGGGACTTTCTTCCTCCCCCTACCTGCTTACCTGACGGATGAGGCTTCTCTATTTTGCGAGTATGGAATTTTTTCCTACTCGAATAGCCGCGCCCCTCCTGCGTGCAGAAAGACCTACGGGATTTTCTTCATCTCCCTCCGGCTTACTGACGGGTGAGGGCTTCCGTTATTTGCGATTGGAAATTTTTTCCTACTCAATAGTGCCCTCCTCGCGTGCCTGAAGTCCTAACGGGATTTCTACTTCCCCCTCCGGCTTACTTACGGTTTAGAGCTTCTGTGTATTTGCGAGTTGGATTTTCCACTACTCGAACATTAGCCGCCCTCCTCCGCGTGGCAAGAAGCTACGGCGATTTCCTCTCCCCGCTCCGGCATTACTGCGTTGAGGCTTCCGTTATTTGCGAGTTGGAAAGATCTTTTCCTATTCGAATAGCGTCCTCCTCAGGGCAGGGTTACGGGATTTCCTCCTCCCACGGCTCCTCTGGCGGAATTGAGGCTTCCGCTAATTCTGCGAGCAGGGAAATATTCACCTGCTCGATATAAGCGCTCCTCAGCGCGCAGGCATTACTGGATTTTGAATTGCATATTGGGCGGAAGTTTTTGCTGGCGAGTAGTGAGCGCCGCGACGAGGAGAAGTCCGACGACAAGGAGAAGCTCCGACATCGGTAGAAGTACGGGCCTTGAGGTAAGAAAGACCGATGAAAAGTTTCGTCGACGCGGCAGAAGTTGCGACTCGATATGAGTAGACGTCTGTGACAGAGCAGAAATCCGACGATGGTGTAGGGTTTTAGGACGAGCAAGAGTCTGACGACAGGAGAAGTCGACGATCGGGTAGAAGTCACGTCGGGGTTAGAAGACCGACACAGAATTCGTCGATGAGCAGCAAGTCTGGCCGACGAGTAGGAGTCCGCTGAAGGCACGAAGTCCGAAGTCGGGTCAAAAGTCGCTGACGAGCAGAGATCCGATGTCGGTGTAGAAGTTCCGCTGATGAGCAGGAAGTCCAACGTCGGGTAGTAAGGTTCAAAGAGCGGTTGGTCGTTGGAAGACCGACGGAATTCGTCGAGCAGCAAAGTCGCGTCGACACAGAGTAAGATCATAGCTCGGCAGACAGAGCCAGAAGTGTTTCGACGACGAGAAAGGGTCTTTCTGCTTGATCCGAGTATAGTCGAGAAGTTGCAGAAGCAGAAGTCCGCTTGAAGCATCGTGGTGATATTACACAGTTGAAAAGATCCTGACATACAAGGCACTAAGATCAGCAACAGGAGGAATTCAAGAAGATTATCAAGAAATTATAGTAATTGTGGTAAGTATAGTGTGGGAATGAAGTCCCTTAACAGGCATTCTGGGCTAGCTTAACCAAGGATGTTAAGAGACCTATCCGGAGGTTGTATGTTAGCCTTTGCTCGTGGATGTTTTCATTATATAGAAGAGAGGAATCTCATTTACTAAGATGAAAATCTACAAGTGAAGTCAGATGAGACCTTCTTTGAGTGTTGTCGTATCAAGGTCTTTGTCTCTGACTGACTTGTTAACCCTGTGCTGAAAGAGTCGGGGAGAATCATCAAGGTATTATGAGTACCTATACCAGAGGTTGTATGTCTGAAACATTTGTTCCGACGACCGTTAACCTTGTGTGGAAGAGGTCGGGAGAATCTACCTAAAGCATGATCTTGAGAACATTATCACGAGTGTTGTAATTGTCGGAAACAGTTATTGCTCCTCGACTGACGATTAACCTGTGGGTAGGAAAGAGGCCGAGAGACTTCCACCAATGGATGTAAGACAACCTTTCCGAGGTTGCTATGTCAGACGCACTGCTTCGATGACCGGTTGACCTCTGTGTGGAAAGGTCAGAGAGAACTCTGCCAAGGAATTGTTAAGGCACTTTCGAGGTTTTATGTCGGATGACATTTTGCATACGACGAACGTTAACCTGTGGAAGAGTCGAGAGGAGAATCATCACCAAGGATTGTTGCAGACCTTTC